TTGCCGCCGTCGATCGCCTGCTGGTACTGCTCCTCCGTGATGTCGCCCCGAAGCCGCTCGATTGAACCTTGGGCCGTTGTCGGATCGTCCTGAAACTGTTCTCGAAGTTCGCGTCGTTGCTGCAGCAGCTGCCGTACTTGCTACGCGTGCTGGCTGTGGTCATCAGTATATCCCACTCGTCCACAAAAATGAACTTCCGCACCAGTGCGGATGGCCTCGTGGATCGTCGCGATAGCATGGTCAGGAACCTGCAGCCACTTCAGCTCATGTAGTTCAGGTAGTTTACGGCGTAGCTTATCCTTGACGCTCTTCACGAAGTCAGGGCGCTTGTCGCCCAGCTGCAACTTTTGCGCCACTGCCTCCTTCGATACGGACGACTGATCGTAAACTTCGTAAGGCTGCGCAACCACCTGGATACCGAAGCACACCCCCAACGGCAGATGCTCCTGCAACCCACTGTGATTGTGTAATTGTAACCTCCACAACGAGTTGTGTTTGGTAGGGCAACATATCGGAGCCTGGTGCCACTGCTGCTGTACAGTGCTGTAGTCCAACGTCTTGGCCACTCCTTTTGTAATGAGTGGGGCTGCCAATCGGAAAACACGTGTTGATCGCATACATGCTGTGCGCCAATTAAACAGGCGTCAGCCGATCACAGTTGTAGCTGAAACCGCGTACGTGATGCAAGCCCGTCACTCCTGAAGTCCTCTCGAACTGACGGTTCAAGTCGCAACAGATGACTGGTGACCGGCGCGCGCTCGTACTGTTCAACAATGCGTAGAGCCAACCCATCATGGCGTTCACCGTGCGCTGCCATCGCAATCGATGTTCACGGCCTCGATTGGGCGCGGGCGGGAAATACATCACGATCAACACCATTCGCAGCGAACCCCTCTGAACAAGAATCGCACCTACCCTACCCCGACGAATCCGTGGTACAGGAGCGAGCCCTCGTAAACATGACCGTGGAGACTTGTCCCGATGCAGCCCCACCTGCACACCACAAACTTTCGTAACATGTGGTGCCGACATCCACCCCCAACCCATCGAATATAACTGACCTACGAGCGGCATCGGATTAAGCAGATCGGAGCCTGCAGCTCGCCTCTGCGTCGTGACCAGCGCGGGAATGTCTAAATTGGCGAACTCATCCGCCACATCCTGGGCGAGCGTCCCCGTCACGCTGAAAAGGGAAATGGCAGCAGATCGCAGCCCCGCATCGGGCCGCCCGTTCAGTCATAGGTGGCATGTGCGGAGGGCCCCCCGCCCGATTTGGGAGAATATGGCCACCATCCACTTCCTCCTCCTCCTCCTCCTCCTCCTCGTTCCTCCTCCTTGCCCCTCGCTCGCCGCTGGCCCGCTCCCTGCTCCCCCCTCCTTTTTGGACGCTCGAAGTGGGTACGGAAACATGGGCACACTGCCCAGCAGCAGCCGCTGCCCAAAACCGACCGCGGCCGCGGTTGGGCAGGCGGCGTTCTGTGTTCCGTGAACATCGCCCGCAGCGTCGCGGACAACGAGTCCTGGTCAAAATGCGCAGGAACTGCTGTCGGTCTTTGTGCCCTTTCACGGGCGTTGTCAGAACTGGGTTTATAGTGGGACCTGGTTTAATGATGTGTACTGGGGGTTGCCCCCCCCACGCCCCGTTCGACGAACCGGAACTGCCGTCACCAGAAAAAAAAAACTACTACGGCAAACCTGGTTGAGTGACTCTGGCCAATTTTGGGGCTCCGGGGCCCTACCACTTTCCGGGTCCCCTTACCTGGGGTCCTGGCTACACACTCGGCCAGGATTAGTAGGTCGACCCTGCCAGCTCAAGGGTACCCTTGTGCCCTGTGCCTCGCGACACGTGCCTTCTTACATTCCATATGACGAGGTGGCCCTCGGAAGGGTCTCGAGAGTCTCGTGTCCTCTCGCGTGTCCTGTCCAATCAAGGCCGACTGCACCCGACATTCTTTCCGTACCCATCCCAGGCATGCGACGTCCTGAGTTTTTCAGGACGGCGTCTCTGGAAGTCCCGACCCTTTCCCCGGGACCGGTTTTTCGTCCTGAGCCGTTTTTTGACGCTCCCGGGGCCCGGCGAGGGCCCCCCGGCCCCGAAAATTGCCCAAAACCTCCCGTGCTGATTTTCTTACGACGCGATCAAGTCTGGGATTTCGACCGTGGCGAGTTCTGGCCGAGCGGCCCTGCGGCCGCCGGCGGGGGCGGCGTCCTCGGCGCTGCGCCTTCCGCGAGAGCGCGCTGGGGCGAGGGGCCGGGTGTGCGGCAGGCGCGGGCCCGCCGCGCGGCCCTGCCCTATGGGACAGCTTGCGCGGCTCGAGCCGCGGTGGGCGGCGGCGGCGGCGGCGGCGGCGGGGGCGGCCGAGGCGGTGGCGTCGAGCATCGGGTCGGGCGACAGGGGGGGGATAGCAACTCCCTGACCTTCCAGAGTGCTACAAAATAGCGCTCCAGACCTATAGATCTATCTGGACTGCCTCAAACCTCGACAGGGATTAGGATGTCGACGTCCTGGTTCATTTTTCTGCCGTCCTGGAAGGTCAGGGAAAGGGGGGGTGAGAATCAGCTCGCGCAGCTGATTTTCCCGGCGCCTCCCGGCGCCGGGAGGCGCCCATGTATCTCGAGGAAAAGGCCCGGCGGCGGGGCCGAAACTGGCTGCATGCAGCAGATTTCGTCCCCCCCCCCTTCCCAATCACCCCCTCTCGTCTGGCCCGAAAAGTAGTGAGCCCACGCGCATGAACACGGTCCCAGAATCCTCGAGACTGGCGGCGCGACACGAACGCTCGTGCAAGGCGCACCCTTGGAGCCAACGTGGCTTCATGTAGGTGTATATGTCCTTCCCTTCGCTCCTGACGAGGATGCCCTGCGCTCCCAGGCCCCCTCGGGCCGCGAGACAACAAGCACTACGCCGGGAGGCCTTTTGCGGTGTTCGGCCGACGGGGGCTCTCGCCCCTGGCCCATGGGCCGGCCGAAAGCGACGTCGGGGCGAAACGCTGGCCCCCCAAGGGAAGAGATCCAGACGTCTGGCGGTCCACGTGCCTGGGGCCCTGGCCGCCTGTCCCAATCGGCGCTTGCATCAAGAGGCTGTTTCATTCACGTGCTTCAGCAGGCAGCCCGTATCATAATAAAGCGCGATAAGGATGCGAGGGCCTTGGGCGCCCATTCCGAAGCTCATCGAGCGGGGCCTGGCCAACGCAAGTGGCCTCAATAGAGGACCGAGGAGGCAGGGACGCGAGGGTACTCTTGGCAAGGTTGCCCATCCTTACTATATGCGGGTTGACTGTACCCGCCCGCACACACGAAGCAGAAAGCCTTGATGATGTGGCCCTCAGCTACCCCAAGGGGGTGCCGACTCTGACGCGAGAACATCCCACTGCCAAGACAGGTTCCCTCACAGGGGTGCCGACTCGGACGCGAGCACGCCGGACCGCCAGGAGCTGTGGAGAGCAATCCGGCAGCAGAGCCCTCGCGCTCGCGCGTGGCAGCCTGTGCGGGGACGTGCAGAACGAGCCCGATCCGCGAGATCCACCGACCGCAGGGGCACCGTGCTGGCTGCTTCTCTCCCGCCCTCGGTGGGCTCCCTGGGCTTGGCCGCGCGTGGCCGCGCGTGGCCGCCTAGCCCGCTGGGCTTTCGCCCCCGTGGCCGCGCGTGGCAGCCTCGTGGCCGCCTCGTCCGCTGTGGCCGCCTCGGTGGGCTCCCCGGGCTTTCGCCCGTGGCCGCGCGTGGCCGCCTCGCCCGCGATGGTCGGCGTCGCTCGATCCCCCGGGTGCTCGGCGGGGGGCCGCCCGTGGCCGCCCCTCTCCGTCTCGGTCGGGCAGGCCCTCCGACGGGCGGAAGGCCGGCGAGCAAAACACAACACGTCCAGCACTGCCCCAACAGATGCTTGGACCATCCTCCATCCTCCTCCTCCTCCTCCTCCTCCTCCTCCTCCTCCTCCTCCTCCTTCCCCTCCTTCCCCTCCTTCCCCTCCTTCCCCTCCATCCTCCATACATGGATGAGAGTGACCTTTGGTGCGCGGACTTCTGGGCCCCTGCGCGGGGGGACCCAACCCGAGCGCGCAGGACGCCACTGCCGAACCGCACTCGGCGATCGGGGCGCCCAGGTGGGCCCGCACCCACAGGTCGCTCCGGCCTCGTGGGGGCGCGCCGGCCCTGGGAGGGCCCCGAGTGGCCTGGAACGTCCAGAATGTGGCCCCACATCGCCCAGCGTGGCCTCCCCAAAAACGCCCAGTCGTAGAGTCCACGTTGGCCTCTCAGAAGCAAATGTGCCATCAGCTTGCCACTCAGAGTTTGCCTTCGGAAGGGCCACAGAGGCCTCAAGGTGGCCTCAAGTAGACCCCAAGACGTCTCCGAGGAGGCCCAAACTGCCACCTACGGCGTCGTCGCCACTGTCGTCGTCGTTTCCTCGTCCACATACATCAATGTCGATGCCACCGTCGTCGTCGTCGTCGTCATTAATTATCGCTCTTGTCGTCGTCACTATTGTCGTTTTCGTCGTCGCCCTTGTCGTTGTTATGATCGCTTTCGTCGCCGTCGTCGTCACCGTCGTCATCGCCCGCATCGCCTTCGCCGTCGTCGTCATCCTCGTCCACGCCGTCGCTCCTACCACCGCCGCCGTGCCTTCGCTGCCAGCGCCAGCGCCGACGCCGCCGCCCATCGCTCCGCCGCCGCTACCGGCCCCGACGCCAACACCAAGGGCGCCGACGCCGACGCCAGCGGTAGCGGAGCAGCGGCCACGTCGCCTGGGACGTGTCGCTGAGAGGAAGGGGGGGGCCCTGTGGACGACAAGGGACCGGAGGACCAAGAAGAGAGACGGACCCGGGATCTCTCGATGGCGCCTGCCTGCAAGGGGGGCTTCCAGCAGCAGTGGCCGAAGACGGCACTCCGCAGGAGGGCGGCGGGACGGCGGCGGAGCGGCGGCGCGGCGGCGGCGGGCGCGGCGGCGGCGCGCAGCGGCGGCGCGGCGGCGAAACGGCGGCGGAGCGGCGGCGGCGCGGCGGCGCAGCCTGCGGCGGCCGCCGCGCCGAGGACGGCGAGGACGGCCACCACCGCGCCGGCGCCAGGGCCGCCACCGCTCTGCGCCGGGGGGGCGCCGCGGCCCGTCGCGCCCGCGGGCGCCTCCTGGGAGGCAGCGCAGGGTCGAGGCGAGCGGAGGGCGTGGGCTGCGGATCGATGCTATCGGCTGTAGTCGGGCCTACAGCGGAGGCCAGCCCACAAGAAACCTCCCACATCAAACACAATCCTGAGGCCCCAGGACGGCCACTGGTTTTGGGAGTGGGAGCGTCACGCCTCCCATCGGAAAACCGTTGAAGCCCAAGAAACCCTGGGCACCCTGGAGACAAACAAGGTGCTTCTTGGCATAGGCCTCCACTGTTGGCCGGAGAAACATCCCTCAAGAACAGGAAGCCCTCCGTCGGCCAAACGAGACAGAGCATCCAAGGGTACCCTCCCCCAGGGTGCACGAGAGCACATAACGAGCACGAAGAACATGAGGCTTACCCTCCCCGAACCGACCTCGATCTTGTACCTCGGTCCGACCGTGTCGTGGGTCGAGGAAGGTCGAGGCCTTCGAGGGGCAAAGGCCGCGAGGGTCGAGGCGGTCGGCTGCCGTTGCGGCGCCTCCTGGCGCCGCGGAACCTCGACGCCCCGCGGGCATCTCCTGAGCGCTGTGCAGGGTCGAGGCGATCGAGGGTCTGGGGTCAAGGCTCGGGGATCGATGCTCGAGGTGCACTGGTCGAGGCGATCGAAGTTCGAGGACGGAGGCTCGACGCGGGGATGGCATTGGATAAAGAATCCAAGGTCTGGAAGCCAGTGGAACTCCAGCTATGGATATCACTGCCACCCTCATCAGACAAGGACGCCACGCGCGCGGCCCCGCTCGCACGATCGCTGGGCACTCTCAGAAACCCTGCTGCCCAGGGGGAAAGGCAGCGGGGCGGGGCTTCTCGGAAGGCTCACAACGGGCTGCTGAGAAGGCCAAAGGGCTTCTGAGAAGCCCCGCCGCCCTTTCAGAAGGCCTGCCCCCTCTCAATTCCCCCTCGGCGCGCCGCCGTTACAAGAGATCTTGGGGCGCCGTCTTCGTCGAGAGCAATGTCGCGGCGGCGTCCCTGACTTTCAGCAAGGCTCCGCATGGCCACCGGGGATAGTAAACTTGCGCGGGGCACCCGCTGGCAGACCGACTTCTTGATTGAAGCGCTCTCTGTAGGATCCATGATCGAGGCCCGAGGATCGAGGTTTTGGGACCGACGTTCGAGGTTCCAGGGAGTCGAGGTTTGAAACTTCGGGCATGATCGTATCTTGTCGGGCCCCTGGGGGACCTCCGGATACCTCCAGGCCACCCCGGTGTTGCTTGTAAGACGCCGACCCGCTCGCGCCACGCCCCAATTAAAGACCCTGGACCCGTCCAAGGGTCCAGTCCTGCCAGTTCTCCGAGCAGCCTCCGGCACGCGAGTTGCTCAAGGAGGGGGCGACCGGTGGGGAGCGAAGAGACGCGCACCTTCCGTGCCCCTGTTGGGCCCCAGAGCGCCCCCTCAGGGGCCCCAGGGTGCACCAGAGGGGCACCCATCTTCACCCCTCCATGCATCTAGGTGTAAGTCGGGCGCGTCCACCTGCAGGGGGATTGTGGGCCGAAAAAAACTAAAAATACCCAAGACAATACACCCAAAATGCTCAGAAATAGTCAACAAATGTCCCCCGACCATTTTTGGACTATTTTTGCATTTTCCTCCTGTAGAGGGACAGGCCCGACTTAAATCTAGGTCGCCAGCCTTCGCGCCTCGCGCCCCGCGAATGCACACCGCGCGGCCGCCTTCGCGCCCCCGCGAGAGCACGCCCTGGAGAAAGGCAGGGCAGCTCTGCAGCCCATGTGCGCGACGCGGGCAGCGCCGATATTGCCCTCGCGCCGCTGGGCGCGACCCTCCTCCTCCTCCTCCTCCTCCTCCTCCTCCTCCTCCTCCTCCTCCTCCTCCTACTCCCTCCTCCTCCTCCTCCTCCTCCTCCTCCTCGTCGTCCTCCTCCTCCTCCTCCTCCTCCTCCTCCCTCCTCCTCCTCCTCCTCCTCCTCCTCCTCCTCCTCCTCCGTGGCCACGAGCGCGCCGGCAGGAGGTTTCCCCCCAAAAAGGGCGCACGGTGCCAGAGTCCTGGGTGGAGGTCGCGCTCCCCCCCCCCTCTCAGCCTATCTAGGGGAACGAACAACGGCATGAACATAATGACGCAGAGGTCCGCGCAGATTTCTCGGATCCGCGCTGGACCCCCCCCCCTGGCGGCGCCTCCAGCGTTGCCCCGAGCGCGCTCCGCGCGCCAGGGAAGGGGGTCCAGCGCCGATCCGAGCAATCCGCGCGGACCTCTGAGTTACGTTCATGCCATTTTTCGTTCCCCTATGGATGGAGGTCGCGCCCGCCCCCCCTCGCAGCCGTACCTGCCCCGATGCGCACAACGCACGCCATGGCGTTGCGGCACGGAGCTCGGCACGCCTGAGGCGGGGACCAGGGACTGACCGCCCCGGCATCCTGTAGGCCTACCTTGGCATGCTCTTAGAACCCCAAAGAACTAACAACAACGACAATGCTCTTAGAACATAAACCCGGTGTGTTAAAACAAGGCAGTCCCAGCCAGAAATGCTCTAAGAACAGTTCGTGGAAACCACCAAAGGTTCAAAGAACATTTTTTGGTAGGCCTATAGGCGAGCCAGGACGCTTCGCCACTGCCTGACTCTTAGCCAAACCCTCTCGACCAACATCCGCTCGAGAAGTCGACCTTCTCATTGACGGGTAATGGCTGGCGGCTTGCGCGGCCGCAGGCGCCCGACATGCAGCCCCCTCTGTCGGGGACCTTGGGGAGCTGCGCGATGCGGCGCGCAGCCAGCCCTGCGAACTCCGCCAGGCGGCTGCCGGCGCAACGCCGGACCCCCAGGAGCAGCATCGCCTGCCCACGCGCCGGCAGGCGGCAAGCGATGCCGCTCAACAAGCCAGCATACCCACCCTGGCCAGCTACAGGGCCGCGCCTGGTTACGGCGTCGAGGCACCCGCAAGAGCCTCAAAAAGCTCCGTCCCAAGAATAGAGACGGCGACGACGACAGCGACGGCGCGACGTCGACGACGGCGACGCTGACGACGGCAAGGAACACGTCGACGTCGACAGCAGTGTCGGGGTCAAAACCACCGGTTCTGCGCGCCGCGTCGTCGACATGCGCTGTGTGCTCCCGGGGGCCCCTGCGCAAGCCTCTGGACGCCTCCAAGAGGCATCATCATCGTCATCGTTATCGTTATCGTTATCGTCATCGTCATCGTCGTCATCGTCGTCATCATCATCATCATCATCATCATCATCAGAACCTCATCATCATCATCAGCACCATCATTACCATCATTCTCATCGTCACCACGACCACCATCATCCTCGGCACCAACACCCAAGTGGCATCCATCATCATCATCATCATCATCATCAGCAGCATCAGCATCAGCATCAGCATCAGCATCAGCATCATCATCGTCATCGTCGTCATCACCATCATCATCATCATCATCATCATCATCATCATCATCATCATCATCATCATCCAAGTGATCTCCATCAGTAGCCAATCGAAGCATTGCCCCCCCACACACACGCGCCCGCAACCCTGTGAACCCAAGCCGCTATGATCTAGACCCCCTCCGACCGATCTCGAGGAACCGCGTCTCCGAAGAGCCCCGCCCTCGAGCCTCGAACGCAGCCGCCGCCGCCGCCCTTTACAGACAAGCCTGGCCGCTGGACCTGCGCGGCCCGACAAGAGCACCCCGCGGCGAACCCCGGCCGTGGCCACGGGGGCCCCCCTCCAGAGGCCCGCGAGGGGGCCCCGCGGGAGCACGTCGGCACCGCTCGGACGTCCATTCCTCGTGTATCTTTCGACATCCTGCGCGTGTTTTTTCACGCCAAAGGATCAAGGATGGTCCTCCCCAGACCCCCGACGTCATGATTTTTTCATGACGTCGACCCCCAGAGGTCTGGACCCATTCCCCAGGACCGGTTTTTCGTCCTGAGTCGTTTTTTGACGGTCCCGAGGGCGGGTAAGGGCCCCCAGAGTCCAAAAATTCGGCCCAACGGGCCAGAGGCGTGCTAAGATCTCCGGTAACTGCTCTACAATGTTTCTACTTCGCGCGCGCGGGGCGGCCCCTGGGGGTCCCCAGACGAAAAGTACCCCGACCAGGTCCCGGCCGGTCCCCGGCCGGGTCCCCCCGAGCGCTCCACGAGCGCACCAACAGGGCTCCGAAAACGTCCCCGAGGACCCAAACAAAACCAAGAGGCCCGCAAGAGGTCCCCAAGATGGTACACGAGGCGTCCGAGATGCCACAAGATCGCTCCAAGACGCCCAAGATGGCCCCCAGACGCTCCAAGAGGTCTCCAAGCGTACTCCCAAGAGGGCCCCAAGAGGCAAAATTCATTGCTTTTCCTTAGGTTTTGGACATATTTTGGCTTTTTCACCTTTTCCGCTTCCCGAAGCCCCAAGACAGCCCAAGACGACTCCAAGATCGCCCCAAGAGGGTCTAAGAGGCCCCCAAGAGAGCCCCAAGACGGCCCAAGAGGGCTCCAAGACGGCCCAAGAGGTCTCCAAGACGGCCCAAGAGGGCCCCAAGAACGCCCCAAGAGGGGGAACACGAAACAACATTTCCAGCCCTCGGCCCCAAGAAGCCCCCAGGAGGTCCCAAGAGGCCCCTAAGAGGCCCCAAGAGACCCCCCAGAGGCTCTCAGGAAGCTCCCAAGAAGCCCCCAAGCGGCCCCAGGAGGCCCCCAAAATGCCCCCCCGAGCACGCGAGCAAGCGCCAGCGATGCTACAATATGGCCAACCGCCAGAGCATCAGCGAAGGTTTTTTTCTTCCAGCCCTCCTTGCTCTGGATGCTGCAATATGGGCCGGCGGAATGAGCGAAGCGATTGAATAATGAAAAACCTCCCGTCGTGATTTTTTTATGACTCGAGGGGGTCTGGGTCGATGGCCGCCGCCGAGAAAAAAAATGCACGCGCCCGAGCGATGCCAAAGTGAGCAAGCCGGCGCTCGCCGCCCTCGAGCCTCGCCGTCGCCGTGGCCGCCGCCGCCGCCGCCGCTGTATAGGCGCGCGCGCGCGAGCGCGCGCGCAGACCGTCGGCTCCCGCGCGGCGCCGCGGAGCGCGGCGGAGCCCGCCGCCGCCGAGGCGTTGAGGAGCATGGCGTACTGGTCCCAGCAGGTGTCCGCCTCCTGCGGGGGGGGCCGGGGCCCGGCGCTGATGGCGCGGCGGGAGCCGCTGGGCGTGCCCCCCATCGGCTCTCGGGGTCTCGACGGGGCAGGCGGGGGAAGGGGGGGGGGGCTCCCGGGGGGGGGGGGGGCTGCTCCTCCGGACCCCCCTCGTGTTGCCGCCCCTTCCTTCTGCCTCGCCTCCTCTTTCTGCCCCGTGCTCCTCCTACCTCCTATCCTCCTCCTCCTCCTCCTCCTCCTCCTCCTCCTCCTCCTCCTCCTGCTCCTCCTCCTGCTCGTCCTCCTTCTCCCTGTCCTCCAGTTCCTTCTTCTCCTGCTCCTCCTCCTCCCTGACCTTCTCTCTATCTCTCTCCTGTGCAGCTGCTGCTGGTCCACCCCTCTGCTCCTCTAATTCTTTCTGTTCTTCCTCCTTCTGCTCCCTATCCTCTTCCTCCCTCTCAGGTTTTCAGATGCGGTCACACATTCTTGGATGTTTTCTCGCGTGCTTGAACTTATCCTAGCTCTTCGGATGTAGGTGACAGGGTCTGTTCTTTACGTCGAGTGGCCCAATCCACGCATCACGCAACCCATGGCCCAACGCATGGCGCAATCTAGAGATCGCGCAACCCCTGGCGCGGCCCATGGGTGGCACGCACACGCACGCACGTCCGGGCAACTTCTACGCTGTTGCGCCCGACCTTGCTGCTCTTGTGGTGGCGGTGTGGGGCTCAAGAGGCGAGCGTTCCTGTAACTGGAAGCTTCGGTACGTTTCGGGAAACTCTCGCATACCCTTTAAAGACTGTCAAGAAGAGGGGTTCTAGAGATGCTGGCGGTGGGGCTCAAGAGGCGAAAGTTTCCTGTGACTGCATGCTTCGGCGCGTTTCGGGGAACTCTGGGACCTACGAAGAACGTCGAGGAAAGGGTTTCTGTAGGGAGCAACGTGCGAACCCTACCCCACCATCCCACGACTTCTGAAGGGAGAGGTGGGGTTCACCCCATTAGAAACCGTGGGGTGTGGTGGGGTAGGGTTTGCATGTGGCCACCTCTGTGAACCCAATGCAAGACAAGCTCTTCTTGCCCCCATCTGCGCCCGCCACTCTCGTGGACGGGACCCGGCTCGAGGGCTCCCGCCGCACAGCACAAATGGCGCCGAGGGGCCCAACCGTTTTTGGCAGGAGCCGACCGTCTTGACATCTCTATAGGCCTACAACGCAGTATCCGTGGAGCTACAAATTGCCCGACGAAGAACAGCAAATTCTTAGACCATTCGACCGATTGGTTAGGCCAAGACTGGCCCAGGCCAGAACCGTGCTGAACTCCGCTCGTGCCACCTCAAAGCTCGGCTCTTAGGGCACTGCCTGGCCGGTCTGCTTGTCTCTGCCGTTCGTCGGTGTTGTCCCTGCGACGCTGCGTCTCCGATCTTGCCGCTGCTTCGGGCGTCGGGGAGCTCGGGAGCGGCCAAGAGGGGGGTGTCCAAGAGGGGGGGGGTGCAAATCATGACCGGCGGCATGTGCGCGGCCCAGCGGGGGGGCCAGGGACGTAATGAAATAAGAAGAGGCGCCATGAAATCTGGGGAAATATCATGGCCCCCGCCATGATATCCACCCCCCCTAGTCATCACCCCCCTCTTTTCCGCCGCTGCTTCGGGCGTCGGGGAGCACGCGCCGTGCACGCGGCCCAGCAGACCCGGGACGACCGCAGAGAAGGCGTGAGCATCCGCTGCCCGAGGCCCGCGCGGAGACGTCCCGTAGCAGCGCCTGGCGCGCGGCGGCGCCGAGAGATGTCCGCACGGCCCTCCGAGGGCCTGCGCTTCCAGGACCAGCGCGCCCCCGCACTCGCACACGAACGGCTCGCGGATGGCCCGGGTCCGGCGCGTGGGACTCACGATGCTGAAGGGGCCCAAGGACACACAAATAAATACACACAAATAAGATAATTTTCGATATTTTCCCATATTTTCTGGGGTTATGTCTTCCCGCCCACTTCCCACATTTCCCCATATTTTCTGGGAAATCGAGAATTAATTGTGTCTGTGTGTTTCTTTTCCTCCTGAGATGCGTCGCGCAGGGGAAGACATGTGCTCCCGGACGTCTGCGAGTGGGCACCTGGCGAGCAGCGGAACGCGCGGTATCGTCGGGCCAGGATGAAAGGTGCCGTGCACGCGTCGGGCCCGGCAGCTCCGAGCGTCCGGGGGGATCGCTTGGGGGAGGGGGGATCGCTGGGGAAGCGTCAAACCTGGAATCGGCGGCACGCCGCCGATCGATCCGCGACAGACACAGACTCCGGCTGACGATTCCGCACCTTCCTGCGCGGGGGTTGGGGGCATCAGGCCGCTGTCGGCTATCAGTGGGCGATTCGGGGTCGATGCGCCCCCCCCCCTGAGCGCAGCGCCCCCATCACGTTGCCCCTGCGAGCACCCCCGCCGCGGCGGTGACGTCGACGGCGACGGCGAGGGCAGCCGAAGAGTCTCCCGTCTCCGAGGCCCGGTGGGCGCGGTCAGCAGGCCACCGGCAGGACGGAGAGAGAAGGCCCCGGTGCACAACCGGCACGGGCGGCCAGAGCGGCATTCGGTGCGGTGCCGCGTGCTCGTGCTGAGCTGACGTAGTGATCTCCGGCACCCATCAAAGGGCAGCGCGCCCCGCGATGCGCGACGCGCGCCCGTCTTCGCCCCCTCGCGCAGCCGCCATGCAGAAGGGCACCTTTACAACTCAGGCCGCGACGCGCGAAACGTGATCATCGTCGCGCCCCTGCGGGCGACCTGGAGTTGCGCGACACGCAGACGCGACGCGAGCGGCACTCAGTCGGGCCGGTGAGGAGGCGCGCAGGCGGATCGGGCCCACAGCCTGGACGACATTCCCGCCGTCCTCGCCAACGCAGAACCACGTGGGAGAGACAACGGACACAGCACTGCAGATCAGCGGAAGCACCGTTGTTGCTGGACAGAATCTGCAACTCAACGATCTCGCGCTGCCGGTGCGATCCCGCCCAGCCGCTCAAGATGGGAAGGGGAACTCACGACGACGTGGGGGGATCGCAACTTCTCGCCCCACCGACACGATCAGCCAGACGTGCCGTGCGTACGAGCAATCAATGTTCCCCGACCCCCCCCCTTTGGGCATGGAGGGCTCCGCAGAATGTCTGGAGGTCCACCGGCCTCCTGAGAAGCTTTCTAAGCCATGCGCGAAAACAGAAAAACCTACCAGACCACCCCAAAACTAACCCGAAGGGCCAAATTTCGGGTTGGGGGGGGGACGGGTTCCAGATGTATGTTTTGTCAAACTTCCCCGACACCCACCCCGAACTCTGGAAAAATGGAGGGCAAAGTTTGGGCTTCGGGTTCCGTTGGGGTGGTTTCTTGGTGGGTGGTGACACGTCGTTCATTTCTAATCGCGCTCATTTCTAACTGTGCTCGTTTCTAATCGTTCCTGGCCCCACAGTGGCCAGGAAGAGGCCCAGGATAGAACAATTAGAAATGAGAGGATCTTGACCCACAGAAACAAAAAAACATAATTAGAAATGAACAGTGGGTACGAGTTCCAGATGTTTGTTGTCAAACTTCCCCGACCCCCTCCCCCTCTGGAAAAATGGGGAGCAGAGTTTGGCCTTCGGGTTCTGTTGGGGTGGTTTGGTGGGTGGTGACACTCTGCACGGAGGGCACGCGCGTGCGACAGCCTGCCGCAGCGCAGACCGAGGAGAGGACGAGAACAGAGGGCAGAACATCCACCCCCATAATAAGCACCCCGATACGCGAGGCCGTGTAGTAAACGCACCCACAAGAGGAATCGAACAGGGCAGGGCTGTTTAGCAAACGCCCAGAACCGTTTAGAAATCGCCGATTGTCGGGTTCCGGTGGTTGTTCCTCCCTTGACTCCTTGCGCGGAGGGCGCACGCGTGGGATAGCACGCGGCAGCCCAGACCGAGGAGAGAACGAAAAGGAGCAGAGGCGCAACGTCTAGAAGAAGAAACAACGGCATAAGCATACACTTTGGATGGTCCGCGCAAATTTCTTGGCTCCGGGGCCGACCTTCCCGGCATTCTTGCAGGCCTACGACGAAATGTTCTTAGAACCCAGATGCTCTAAGAACAAGAGCAATGCTCTTAGAACAAAAATCCTATGCGATAGAAGAAGGGAGCCCCAGCAATACATGTTCTAAGAACATGTCGCAGAAACAACACAAGGGTTCTTATAACACTGATTGGTGGGTCTTTAAGCACGCCAGGACGCTTCGTCACTGCTTGCTTATGCTTATGGCGTTATTTCTTCTTCGAGCGAAGGGGCAGAGGAGCAACGCCCGCGGCTCATGCTGGCAGGGCCCGAACCACAGCACGCAGGTGCCCCGTCCGATGCCGAGGGGCGAGCAGTCGTCGGCGCCCTGGAAGGCGAAGCCGGTGCAGCCTCGCCGTGGCATCGGATATCGCGGTCGCAGGATCGTTACTTCTGCTGCTCTCAGTGCATGCTTCTCCTGCTCCTCCTCCACCTCCTCCTCTTCCTCCTCCTCCTCCTCCTCCTCCTCAACCTCCTGCTGCTGCTCCCCCTCCTCCTCATCATCATCACGATCGTGCATGCCCGGGCGAACCGGAGGAACACCTGCGAGACGAACGTTCACGGAGCTCGCGAGATGTGGCACAGTGTGGCCGCAGGGGCTCTCGCGGGCGGCCCGCAAGCGGCACACCGCGCGGAGCGGGGCCCCTGCGCGGGCAGAGCGAAAACGCCCAGGGTCAGCGGGGTCGGCCGCGGTGCCCTGCGTCGCTCGCCCTGATGGGCCTGTTTTCCACCACCACCACCACCATAAGTTGGAGGGGCAGGGGGTCCTCCGCCTCCTCCTCCTCCTCCTCCTCCTCCTCCTCCTCCGCCTCCTTCCCCCCATCCAACTGATGGTGGTGAGAACAGGCCCATCACGCCTGGCCCTCATCGCGGCATCCAGAAGGCTCTGGCCGGCTCAGGGCCGTCCTGCTCGAGGAGGGCTCCAAGACGGCCCTGGGATGCGTCAGTCGAGCACCTTCGGGGAAGCTCGGTGGAACCCCGGTTCGCAGGGCAGCCTCGAGGCCAGCAGCAGCCCCGCAACAGACCACTCAGAAGATCCCCAAGAGGTCCCCCGAGGGGGCCCTCGAGAACCACCCCAAAGGAATCTGCACAACAGGCGACTTACCAGCCGTGCAGCGTCACAGCGTCACGGCCGCGGCCCGCTGCGAGATGATTGCGATGCTTCGCGAAAGGCCGCAGGATCCCCCCCCCGCGTCAAGCTACAACAAATTTTTGGGGAGAAGAACCACACTCAGAATGAGCACTCCTGGAAGCAGAACTCTGTGGTGACTGTGCCTGGTGAAGGAATCGAACAAGGCAGGAATGTCTTCAACAAATTCCAACTATGGGAGTCGGGTCGGTTCTCCCTCCCTTGATCATGCAACAACTCAATTCGCTAGGCAGCGAAACTGATGTGACCGCCACCCGCCACAATGGAAGTGTAACCATAACACTCTGGCGCATGAGAGAGGAGCAATATAAAGAGTGGGTCGGTTCAGTCGTGTGTGCATGCCCTGTGGCAAAGACGGCGAATTGTATATCAGCCACCGTGCTGCGAAGCACCAGAAGTAGTGTCCTCAGGACCGTTTAAATAGTTGACATGCTCTTTACGCGCCCCAGGCTCTGGATTCCCAGACTTCCTGTCCGTGTCCTGTCGCTCCTGGGCGATCTGGGAGCTTCTCGTGTGACGTTTCTGGGGGGCCCTGGAAGCGTTGTTGGGAATCCCAAAGGGCCGTCCAGGGCCACTCTTGGGGGCTTCGTGGATCGTCTTGGAAATCCTGGAGGCTGGCTTACGAGGCCAGGCATGCAAAGCTCCGGGAGTTGTTCCTTACTCGCGCATTCTCGCCTATGCCATCTTCAGAGTGACGACGACGGCCAACTATGCCGCGAAGACCTTGGGGGAAAACGAGGAAAGGGTGGAGGCATGGGGTACCTTTGCCCTCCTCTGAGCTGTGGCCCCAGCCACCACCACCCCGCTGACCGCCCAGGAGCGCCGCGGCCTTTCTGCCCCTGGCATCGCTCGCCGCACCGCCCCGCCGAGGGCTCCGTTGAGGGCTCCGCGCCGGCGATGCCGTGCCAGTTCGCGCAGCCGCTGCGGCTCCTGGCCGAGCGGGCGCCGCGGGCGAGGAGCGGAGGAGGGAGGAGGAGGAGGAGGAGGAGGAGGAGGAGGAGGAGGAGGAGGAGGAAGAGGAGGAGGAGGAGGGGAAGGAGGAGGAGGAGGAGAGGAGAGAGAGGAGGAAGGAGGAGGAGGAGGAGGAGGAGGAGGAGGAGGAGGAGGATGAGAAGGAGGAGGAGGATCTAGGAGGAGGAGGAGGAGGAGGGAGGAGGAGGAGGGAGGAGGGAGGCGGGCGCCGCGCGCCGCGCGCCGCCGAGGGGCCGCTGGCCACATGCCGTGCCGCACATCGCTACGGCATCGCCCGATGGAGCCGCACCCCCGCCGACGGAGCTCCTTCTGTGAAGGGGCCCTGGGACACACAAATAAATACACACACAACCGGATTCCCCATATTTTCCGTATTTTCTGGTTTGGGTCTTCCCCCCACTTCCCATATCTTACGATATTTTCGGGGGGATCGACGATTCATCGTGCCTGTGTGTTTTTTCCTTTCCTGACTTCTGCTCTTGCTTCCCGCCGGCCCTTTGGGCCTGGGCGGCGCGGCGAGGTCTGCCCCTCTTCCCTTCGGGGAGGGGTGCGCCCTCCCCCTTCGCCTCCCCAAAAGCTTGCTGCGAGGCGGACCCGCGGCGTGTCGGAGGGCCATTTTTGTCGCCCCGGGTGGCTCCAGGAGGGCCCTCGGTGCTCGAGTCTGGTCTCCAAGATGGCTCCAGATTGCCGGCGACGGTCCAAGGCAGCTTCGGAAGTACCTCCAAGAGGCCCGACGAGGGCGGCAAGACGATTCCAGGTGCGTTCGGAACCCCCTTTCCGGGCCTTCCAAGAGGCAAACATCCTTCAAACACCTGAGCGAACATCAATGATTTGTGCCTGCTCGCCTTTTCGCTTCCGGCGCGATTTTGAGGCCTCAAGATTGCCCCAAGATGGCTCAACAGAGGCCCAAGAGGGGCCTCAGAGGCTCCCAAAACGGTGCCAAGAGCGCCTAAGATCGGCCCAAGAGCGCCTCACGAGCACCACAAGAGGCGACCTTGATGGCCCCAGGCAAGGGAGACGCAGGCGTAGGCTCGTATCCGTGGGATGAGCCTTGTCAGCTTCGCTCTCATCCATCTCAGGACTGGATCCAAGGCATACGCGAACAGTAACATCGATGCAGGAGTTCGTTGTCGAACCCCGCTGGTAACGACAAGCTCCAAAGGTGACGCCCCAGAGAAATGATTCACCGCATTCTTGTCTCGAGACAGCTCCTCGTAGAAGCCACGAACGTCCTCTGAGACGCGCATCGCCGAGAGCACTGCCGAGAGCCACGCTAGGAAGAGGGGAAAAACTACATAAACATAAACTGTTGGGTGTGTTCTTCTTCGAGTCTTGAAGTCCGCGAAGAGGGCGGCCCCCTCCAGTCAGCCTCTGGCGGAGGCCCCACCACTCGATCTCCACAAACATTGTCCAAGAACCCCCATTCCCAGGAGGGGGCTCTCTGGGCCCTCGGGAAGAAGAGGGGGAGTAGCAGGAGGAGGAGGAGGAGGAGGAGCAGGAGGAGGAGGAGGATTCGGAGGATGGGAGGAGGAGGAGGATTAGGAGGAGGAGGAGGAGGAGGAGGAGGAGAAGGATAATGATGATGATGAGGAGGAGGAGCAGGAGGAGGAGGGGCAGGCTTACTCCCCGCCGATAGAAACATGGGGGGAATACAGCCGAACATTTGATTCAGAAAATCATCATGTGAGAAATGGCCAATTTCCTGGACGTTTCCTAAGATCAATATGTGCCGATTTCTGTGGTTAACGCTGGTGGGGCGAACGTGCTCAAGAAACTTGGCCAGCTTTCTGTCAAGTTGGTTAAGAAACGCTGGCCCAACATTTATGGGGGAGGTGTCTTAATCAGATGCTCGACTTTACCTGAAACCTCCTGAGGCTATCCACTGCGTCTTGGAGCTCTGGGTTCCCTTCGCCAGAAGCCAGAGGCGCAGTGGGCATGGAACAAAAGCCTGGCCCCCAGAGGCTGTATGTTTGTCCATATCCACTGCGCCTCGGCCCCGCGGCGCCCCTTCCCCCGAAAACGTCCACAGGACGCAGTGGCTACGGATAGGTGCATTACTGCCCGCACTGTCAGTTCGCTGCTGCCTGCTGCCGCGAAGCTGCTGCCCGGCGCCGTTCGTTGCCGCTCGCCGCCGCGTGCTGCCAGAGTGCTGCAGCCTGCCGCGGCGTGCTGCCGCGTGCTGCACGCTGCTGCGCGGCACCGCTCGCGCGATGCTCCTCCTCCTCCTCCTCCTCCTTCCCTCCCTCCCTCCCTCCCTCCCTCCCTCCCTCCCTCCCTCCCTCTCTCCTCCCTCCTCCCTCCTCCTCCTCCTCCCTCCCTCCTCCTCCTCCTCCTCCTCTCCTCCTCCCTCCTCCTCCTCCTCCTCCTCCACCTCCTCCTTCCTCCACTCTCCTCCTCCTCCTCCTCGTCCTCTCGTCCTCCTCGTCCTCCTCCCCTCCTCCTCCTCCTCCTCCTCCTCCTCCTCCTCCTCCTCCTCCTTCTCCACCTCCTCCTCCCCCTCCTCCTGGGCACAACCTGGCGAGCGGCAGAGTCTGTCGCTCGTCCGCCTGCAGAAGTCGCACGTGGCCTAGGGCGCACCTTACAAACACCGTAGGCCACGTGTGAGCGGACAGAGACCGCATGCGCCCCCCTCACCCCATCGGTCTGTACGGCCCCGGCGGTAGCCGCTGCTACAGCCACGGCGGGGACCTTCATCCGCAAAAGGGGCAGGGGGGCGCACTGTGGCCTAAACGATCAAACGATCGAGACAGAGAGTTCGATAGACCTTACCATCGAGCCTAAATTCCCGCTTGCGGGCCAGCCTTGAGAGCACCTTCCGCCCCCCACGCCGTCGCCTGGGGGGGACAAGGGGCCGACAGGCTCGAGACACGAGCAACGGCAAAGCTAGCACAGCGCAGACATCCAACTACGAGCGGACCGCCCTGTAGTTGGATCTTGGCAAGGGCATGCACTCTGGACCCCTCTCCCAGCTTTTCCTGAACAGCTAACGCACGACTAACCACGTCGTTGGGAAGGGGGTCCTTGACCATAATCAGCCGTGGCACAGGCGGCTTGCCTCGCATATGACGCTTCGGATGACCGCAATCCTCCAAGCCGTCGCTGAGGCGCCCGATCCAAGTGCCCCAAGTTTAACGACGTTTGCTCGCGCCTGCAGCTGCCCCCGTGTGCCAGACGCAACACGGTGGAACGCAGCAGCACTCTTCGCAGCAAGGTCATAGGTCGCATTGCCATACTTATGCCTGGCCGTGGTGCGTCCAAGGAGAACGTCATCAACGGTCTCATGGCCTTTATTTACACTTGAAGATCTCGAACCCATCCCCCCAGACGTCGACCAGCCGCCAGAAATCCCTCCAGAGATGGGCGCGCCCGGCAACACAAGCAGTGGTAGCCACCCGTCCACGCTCGTGGAAACCATCCACAACAAGAGCAGAATCAGTGAAGATGCGGACAGGTGGTGTCGCAAGCCGCAGAATGTGAATGACAGCAATGAGCTCAGCTGCAAAAGCACAGTCCTGCAAACGAGCTCAGCTGCAAAAGCAATGAGCTCAGCTGCAAAGGCACTGCAGCAGATCAAGCACAGGTCCTGAACAGAAGGCGACCACATGGTTCCGATCAGGATGAAGCGCCACGCGCCCCCAGCCAGCAGTCGCTAGACCCGGATGCTCTGCTTCGAAAACCGAACCGTCAGGATACACATCTCCAATGAAACAGCTAGGGCCTCCAATCCCCCAACACGCGGGCTGCCCGGGCGGCGGCCTCTCGAGAACAGAAAGCGGCACGAAACAGCGCTCCGCAAAAAATGAAGGCAAGCGGGGACTGCGCAGCTGTCTGAGCCCTATTGGCTCTGAAGGCAGGGGACCCTTCAAGGCTGTCGAGGCGCGCGCGCGCGAACAGTGCCCATGCACAAGAGTGCCCTCGGCGGAGGGGCGCAGCAGGCACGCAGCCGCGGTGTCCTAACCGTCGGCCCAGTGACGCTTATGAGGCCACTGGCCCCCCACGATGGTGCTACGCAGGTAGCCCCTCTGCTGGGCCGTGAGCTTACTCTTGCTGCCAAGCAGGGCCTCCAGGGGGCTCAGGATCAAACCATCGTCGAACTCACGCTGATCAAGATGGCCAGCATCTCTAGCAAACTGCCAGCGCTCTACCGCGCGAGACAAGAGCTCCTGGATAGTGACAGGGCGGTCGTCGGTGGGGTTGATGTTGGCCCCATTGAGCCAAATCCAAGAAGTAGCCGAGGTAGCCGCGATGCCAACCCGCTGCAACGATGCCCAGAGAGCCCTAAGGGGCCCCTGATAGAGGACCAGGGGTGCCCCAGCCCAGACAGGTTCCCATGAGCCTGGCGGATCCCAATGTCCAACGCATTCCCGGGAAGCCATGAGTGCCACAGGAAGGCCTCGGCAGGAAACTACGTGGCCCTGGAGATCGGGTCCAGACGGGGCACAGGAGACAGGAGGAGCGCCAAGGTGCGAGACTTGCCATCCTGGAGATGGTCCTGCAGCTTCCCAGCCGCGTCTCGAAGGACATCCAGCTCCTTGCCGTTCGCGCCCATGACCGAAGCCCCAAAAAACACCGAGGCCTCCAAAGACGCTCGAGTCATGTTCCCGAGCACACGGCGACGCGGCTTAGAGCCCCTCAGGAAGCCCATCCGAACCAACCTGGGCTGCATGTCAGAAACGCGCCCACGCACGGTGCCACGGCTGGCCACCAACCCCGCGCCGAAGTCCACGCCGAGGCTGCGCTCGGACCAAACGGGAAGGGGCTGGAAGCTCTCCAGCTTACGAGCGATAGCGTTCCTCACCACCGCCGTATTCCCAAAAACTCTGGACTTGTCCAGCGCGATGCACAGGTCGATCCTGCTCAGGCACTGAGCAAGCAACTTGCCTGCCGCTGAGATGTCGTCGGCGACTCGCGACTCCGCGCCCCAGCGCATGAGGCCGAAGTCGTCGACATTGACAGAC